TTCGACCGATCCAGCGATTTGGATAATGTTCATTCAAATACTGAATGACGCCTCTAAAAATGTGTGGTGGTACCCCGTCGTGAAGAAACCACAAATTCTGTCTCCGTTGTAATGTTGTCTAAGGTCTGTTCCAAAAGTTCTGATAGGTTATTGACTAGAAAGCTAAGGTATCCTCCTGACAACTTGGGGGTAACTAGAAAGGGCCAATTACCTGATCGTCAAGAATACCCGCCCAAATATTTATTTTAAAACGTTGTTGGAAATGACCTTCACGAATCGGTCCACGTGTGAGTATTATTGAAATTTAATATCCCGTCTCGCGTAAAAAGTACATTCGTCCGTCGCTAGAATATTTTTAAAAAAAACCCGGATTTTCAATATTTTTGTGCAAAAACCACTGACAGAATTTTAGTCTGCGAGGATAGTCTTCTAGTAACAAGGTCTGCACTCCTTGTACCTGGTAGGGATAAAGCAAATTTTCCCGTAGGATGCTATGGACTATGGTATGCGATAGTCCTACGCGGCGGCCTAATTCCCGAGTGCTGATATCTACATTGATTTCCACGATATTTAAAATTTGTTCCTCCTACTCTACAGGAACCTGTCTTCCACGAGTGCGAATATTACTGGACTGAACACTTCCTGTATCTCGAAGTCTTTGGTACACTTGCACAAATGTCCTTCTGTATGGGTGTACCCGTTGGCGAAATCTGTTTTCGATAAATTTGAGCTGCAAGATTTGAATTCTGACGAGCTTCACCGTAAACTAACAACATGTCGGCGAACTCTTGATTCGAGCACATTGTAAATAAACACGACGACGTACGCGAACAAAAACAAAACGATAAAGTAATTTACCTATGCAAAACGATAACTAACCACTGTTACCGTTTGCGATAGATTGCCGGTTCGATAAGAGCGATGAAAGACCGACGCGCTGTTGTCATGTGTGTTTTAAATATTTAACTTAATGAAACTTACTGACTACAAATTTTGGCTTAACTTAGAAAATCTTAATGCCATTTATTTGTTAATTACCCAATTTAAAAACGTTTTAGATTAGATTATAAAAATTAGTAAGATTGTCGTGATTGTGGTCCATATAAAGCACTTAAAGTTGTAAACTACAAACCCATTTAGATAAAAATTTATTGACTTTTGGACCATGGGTCATATGAACTTTTTGACTTGGGGTATCAAAAAAGTCGCTAATTTTCACCATGAGTTTACAGAATCTAGGCCTACTGCAAGCAAAAATGAACCATCTTCTACGCCTTTGAGTATCATATCGTTATAATCGGCTAATTGAATAATTATTTCTATCTTCCTACGTGGCAAAATTGCGGCGCTGGTGATTGTTGAAAAGGGTCCCCTCACTTCTCCCCTTTACCTCTTCTCCTTCCGTCAATGGTAACGTCATGCATAATGCAAGCAAGCATTGCTGATGGATGCCGCAGATACGCCGAGAATCGCTGCATTTTTATGAACTTTTTCCATCCAGGAAGTATAGGTGTTTGTTTATAATAAGGTATACCAGGTGAATGCATTATCTTTAAGCAACTGATATTACTGGATCTTATTTCTTGGAAAGAAGCGCTAGTGGACTATGACCTTGAGCGCTACTTGACTGTGACCTTGAGCCCAAACCTGACCTTGATATTTATAAAATCAAGCAAGTGCTCATACATTCATCTAGGAAGCAAACGATGGATACCCACAGGGGTTGGTACACCTAGAGTTATCTCTTACCGATGATTGGACCCGCTGATAAAAATTCCTGCGTGCCCCCATGAGAGAAACATTACTATCTGTTGTTTTCTACACTCTCTTCAAATTGAAAAATACTCTGCACCATCAGGACACCCCACCTGTATCCGCCACTGAAATCATTGGATGTACGAGCACCTTCCCACTTCAGTTGGTCCACTTCAAGATTTGTACCAAAATATGCCTTGTTAATTAAAAACGACGAAACTATTTACTTCTAAAACAATTTATTTTCTCAAAAACATTTTAGATACACTCTAGTCGTAAAAAATACATATTTGAAATCACTTAGACCTATAACTAAAGAACATCTGAACAAATAAACAATGTGCGAATAAATGCGCGAAGTTAACAAAGCAACAATTGAAAGATTACCATTGGGTAACATCACCTTTATTTTTTATTACGGCTGAAATTCTTTGGGGCATAGTGTTAACCAAGTTTTGGCAAAAATTTGGTATAAAACAATCCCATATTTCTTGAAGCTTTTGTCTCAGTTCGGTGATTGTACGAGCAGGATGTTGTCGTAGAACCTTTTTCATCTCGTGCCACAAAGTTTCAATAGGTGACAGATCTGGACTGCCAGAAATCCATTTCAAAAGTGGTACATTATTTTCTTCCATCCATTCTATAGCCTTTTTTGAGGTATGGCACGCTGTACCATCTTGCTGAATCACAAAATCTTGGCCGGATATCAAACATTCTTCCATCACTGGTAAAAGTGATTCTTCTAAAATTGCCAAATATTTGTTTGTATCCACATTTCCATCAATAAAATGAAGTTTTCCTACTCCTTTTGATCCCCAGGCCATAATGGATGCTGGAAATTTCACTTTTCTCTTCAGACAGTCAACATGGAATGCTTCATTTTTTTGCGAATAACTCTACTGCGATTGTCACCAACACAAACTTCGAATCGGGCCTCATCACTCCATTGTATTGCACACCATTGTTGATGTGTCCATTGTCTATGTTCTTCAGCCCATCAAAGCCGATTTTTCTTTTGCAGTGGAGTTAATAGTGGCTTTTCTTTGGCCTATAAACTAGTTGTGCAACTTTAGGGTTTTTACTTCACTTTTTTTTAAAAGAAAACTTGCAAGTGCTAAATCCCAGTTTGTGGGCCTCTCTATGAGTTGTGGACCTCGAAATTCTCCTTCCAACAGCTTCACTCCACAGAGCACTTAATTGTAAATAATTGGCACGCCTGTTTTTCACGATTATTCTTCTCAATGCTCTTCGGTCGGCATTTGTGATATTACTTTTTTTCACATACCGTGGCTTAATATTAACTGAACCAGTTACGTTATATCTTCTAACAATATTTCTCACACTGTACCGCGATAAGTCTAACAAAGTTACAATTTTTGAATTTGATTTCCCAGAATTAAAAAATTTAATTATCAATAACCAAATTTTCTCACTAATAACCTTTCCTCTGCCCATTTTGAAAACCTTAACTACCCAAAACTATTTTAAACGTATTCTGACAGCTGTGATTAATAAAAACAATTGTCATGGCTTTTATTTTTCACAGCCACCTATGCGTTATAGAATTATTTTGCATTGAAATGAAAATAGGTTGATATGCTGTAGTTGCAACATGTGTTATTTTTATGCTGCAAATTTGATTAGGGAGTAATAAAGTTGGTGTTTTCTACTATATGTTATCAAAATATTCATTGTTAGTATTTTAAACCTATAACACCCTGCTACATTTTTGTCATTTGTGTTTGATAAGAAAAAACTAAGATTTCAATAGTTGGGCCAACTGAAGTGGGAAGGGGCTTGTATTCAGCGCTTCAAATGGGCACTCTATGTCCATGTCCTTACGATCTAAATATCCGCTGACAGAGCACTAAAGCGCTATCGTTCTCTGAATGCATTCAACGATACGAATAAAATGTTGTATGTGGGTTTGAGTTGACGAATATAAAAACGGAAACAAATGAACAGCCGAAAAACAACTTCCACCAGCATTTTTCAAAAAGCAATTTGCATACGTCACACAATTCTTTCATCACTCATTTTGCTTTTGTCTCCATTCATACGCACAACACGCACTGGGAAAAAGAGAAACGAGTTTTTTTGCTGTTAACCTCCATTATTATACCACCGCAAGTAATCATTCCTCTACCCTATCGCACGCTATTATAAAGAAAATTAATAGCTTATTCTAATTTAGCTAAAGGGTTTGACGTTGCTTGTCCACTCTCTTTCATCGTGTTTTGACTGTGATCCAGTCCACGGGCTTTTTTGTCATTTTATCATCAAAGACGGTCTTTGGTTCATCTAGATTTCAGATTAACGTTTCAATTTTCAACATTCTTCTACTTCAATCCACCGTTACTTTATGTGTCACTGGGCGAAGAAGTATTGTAATCGCGAAACATTTCGAAAGCAACATATGATGGTGGTGATGTACCAGGTCACTCATTTCCATCAGTCTGTCTGTTCGTTTGTCCGCTAATCCCTGTCCCGTCTATAAGTTGGAAAGTACGTCTCGGATGTGAATGAAATTTTTACACAAGGACGAAAATCAGCCAATTTAATTCGAAATTAAGATATTTTTTGGGCAAATCTTCATGTTTTTTTAGCCGCCAAATGAAACTGTTTACTAACGTTTCGGCTACCTCCACAGCTTTTTTCAATTTCTTTTGATGTTACATGATACTGGTGGAAAAAACTGACAATTTCAGAACGTTGCAATCTTTGTTCTTCAATATTTCTGACGGCGTCTCAGTGTATGATTCTGAAGTTTGAGATTAAAAAAAAAAGTTCGTTTTTCGGCGTTTTTGTCTCTCTTTTAGTTTAAAATTCTAAAATCGACTATTTCTTATACGACCAAACCCTAGAATCTTTGAATTTTAAATAAATTAAATGCGGATCACCACCGAGTGTAACTTAGCCTTTTTCTTGTTTTCTCCTTCTTTTGTTGGAATGTACATTTCCAAGAATGACGTTTATCTGTCCGGTGATTCAATGGCCGTTGTTTGAAGATAAACAATTAAATGACTCCATTAAGAGTATGTCAAGTCTGATAAAGAGCATGTCTGCAAGACATCTTCCAATTATGCTCAAACAAACAACCGCACAACAGACCAAGTTATGTCAAAGTGTATAGAGTTCGAATAGTAGGTTCACTTCGGGTTCAAGTTACGTTTTATTCGATATCGCAGAAAACTGGACATTTCTGACGAAAAATGGGTGCCGGGAATAAGCATGATTATGCTTACATTTAAAGATACGTTGATGATCTTGTGTAACCTTTCACTGAAACAAAATTAAAAAATATCATAAGAGAAAAATAACTTTCTAAAAGTGATAATTAAACCTTAAGATTTGCATATTACGGCAACAGAACATTTACTACCCCCTGCTCGTCGAATCAGTTTTTAGGGCAGGTGACCCTTAAAAAAAATCTCTTGGCAATGATCGGGGCCCCCCAAATAAAAATTCCTGTTGACGTCCATTGACACTGAAGTTCCTTAAATGCGGCTTAAATAACCACCACCGTACGTATTTAGGTCACTGAAACTGGATCTGAAGTACCATCCTAATCGAATCTTTTCTGGTTTACGTGCATCCCGTCATTAGGTAAAAAGTAGCAAAATTTGAGACTTTCCCGTGCAAAAACAGCTTTCATTCAAAACACTAAACTTTCCGTCGCTAAAAAAAACATCAGCTTAGGCACTGACGAAGAAGCCCAAACATGGAATGCTGTTTTCGCGAGTGACCTTACTTTTCGTAGTCTGTAGACTACGGTTATGGGCAGCACAGAGCGGCATATTTATATGTATTTTAAGGAGCGCGTGCCATGAGTGTGTATGGTTTCCATCTTGATAAGGCTGACAACTGTAAAGTCATTATCGTTAATCTCGTGCGGTAAAAATAGAATTCGCCTATCCATTTCGGTTGGCTCGTAATATTTGGTTGTTATGAGCGGGCATCTATATAGCATCGGTCAAAAATGATCACTTAGGATGAGTTTTAAAAATGCAAACATGCATTGAAAAGTTCAGCATCAAGATTCAGTTGGGGCTTTTCGGCCTTGAAACCAACAAAAATTTTAAGTTGCTCCCATTTATGACATTTTTCATTTTCGTTTTTGATAACACACGTTTTTCTTTTTATTTTATTACCTGATTGTTCTTTAAAAGCCGCAGGGTCACAACTCTGGCTTTTTGAGCAAAATTTACTCATTTCCGAATATTAACTTACTAAATATTTTTATATGAGCGCATGTTCGCAACACTTCTTACTTAAAACCTATAATATACTAAGTGACATATAAATCCGAACACCCAGTTTAAATGGTTTTATTTTAATAAAAGTTGGTGAATGTATTTATCTTACTGTAAATAACAAGTGAAAAAATTTTCAGCCTTATCAGTTGGACATTCCGGTTTTTATACTGCTTTTTTTAATTCACTAACGCTCTAAAAATGAATATTTCAGCCGCAGTAAAGAATCAACGTTGGCGGATTTTTGTTCTTGACATCCTTTACGATCGATTACGATGCCTAGAGTACAGAGACCTGTACGATTTCGTCAACTTAGTGAGTTTGATAGGGGCCGTATAGTGGGACTTCGGGAAGCTGGACTTTCTTTTCGGGCAATTGTAGTTAGAGTGCAAAGAAGTGTAGACACTGTGGTTAGGTGTTGTCAGGCATGGCTTCGAGAAGGCCGTACGCAAAGAGCAAGGGGCACTGGGCGCCGCCGTGGAACAACAGACCGTGAAGATCGCCGCCTAAGATTATTGGCCTTAAGGGACCGTTTCTCCACTACCAGGTCCATTGCAAATGCATGGTTTGCAGAACACGGAAGACCTATTGGCATGCGAAGTATTTACCGACGCATGAGAAGTTTTGGCTTGTTTTCATACCGGCCACACTGGGTCCTCCCTTTAACTCGAGAACACCGACGTAATCGCCTTGAGTGGTGTAGACAACGGTCACTCTGGGATCAGGAATGGAACAGTATTGTCTTTAGTGACGAGTCTCGATTTTGTTTAGGCATGCACGATGGTCGTGACAGGGTTAGAAGGCGACGTGGTGAAAGGAGGAATCCACAGTTTTTTGTTGAAAGACATGTTCATCACACTGTTGGAGTTATGGTTTGGGGTGCTATAGCTTATGGTTCCAGGTCACCTTTAATCTTCATCAGAGGTAATATGAACGCGCAGCGTTATATCCACGAAGTTCTAGAACCCCATCCATCTTTTACCCTATCTTGACACCCTGGCAGATCCAACTTTCCAACAAGATAATGCTCGACCACATGTTGCAAGAGTCACAATAGACTTCTTTCAACAAAATGATGTCACATTGTTACCATGGCCACCAAGATCTCCCGACTTATCCCCAATTGAGCACGTGTGGGATATGATGGGTAGGAGATTGCTCAATTTGCAACGTCCTCCTCAGACTCTAGAAGCACTTCGAGAGGAGTTGGTGGTTGCTTGGAATGAGATACCACAGGAGGACATTGACCACCTGATCAGAAGCATGCCTAGGCGCGTTGGAGAATTCGTAGCACATCAGGGTGCATCCACACATTATTAAAGGTCAAAGGGCTTTAAAGCAGTGCAATCATTTTCAAATTTTTATCATTTACTTATTATGCTTCATTAAGTACTTATACAAAATTTTATTAAAATAAAACCATTTAAACTGGGTGTTCGGATTTATATGTCACTTAGTATAATTGATTAACCTATTTTGCGTGAAGATTGCCGCGTCAAGGAAATTATCCGAATCGTGTACTTTTAAAATTTTAGACTTTATAAAAATCGTAAAAATCTATACTCTGTGATGTGGATTTTTTTGAAGCCTGTAATTTGAACAGTACACGATGTTTTCATATTTTTCTGATAACTTTTATGACTTGACCTTAACGTCGACTTCTGGGGCACCCTGTATACATTGAAAAAATTAGTGTCTCACAGATGCCGCTATTTATATGCTCGTATATGCTTATATAATTGGTTGCAACCCCCAACCCCGAAAAAATTTTACTGAAAATGATCAAAAGCCTCTAAATAGTCAAAAAAGTATGATCGATTTTTTTTCTTTTTTGGCTTGTAGCTCCCCGACTGTGGACCGATTTTCACTTACTACGAAACTTTTGTCTTTGGCATAGTGGTAACCTTGAGTCAAAATTTCATAAAAATCCAAGCTGTACTTTCTAAGTTATAGACGGGTTAACGACCAACAGACAGACTGACCGACATTCGAAATTTTTCCCAATTACAATACTTCCTCGCCAGTGGCGTTCGAAGTAAAAGAAAAATGTTGATGAATGCTCAAACGGAAAAGTTTCATAGCTACAATCAACTCAAAATTTAAGTTATTTTCGCCTTCCTTATAGACCTTGATCATTTCAATTTTTTTTGTTTTTAGTTTTATTTAAGTAAGGTTTCGTGACCCATCATTTTCGGTTTAATATCAGGTAACCAAATAAGTTCGTGCGGTTTTTAGTGGAAAAATATAAATTTGTAATGAGAAACAATAGACGCTATTTATTCATCGAAGTAATGACCTTTTGCCAACGTGGAAACAATTTTTGTATGCCGGTCTTGTAGTAAAAATTGGGGGACTGCATTCATTACACCATCTCGAGTTGTGAACTGTCGGTGCCTCATACAGTTGTCAAGGTCAAGAGACAAAAAAATTTGATAATCATTGAGCGAAATGTCGAGAGAATATGGCGGGTGCGGTAACATTTCCCAGCCGAGTTCAGAAATTTTTTCTCGGGTCACTTTTCCGGTATGAGGCTTGGCGTTATCCTGCAAGAATATCACTTTCTTCCGACTGATCAAGAAGGCTGTACATTTTTTTGACGAAACAGACCAGTTTTGTCTGGTGTAATGAAGTGCCTTTGCCCGACTGTCCCATTCACACAAAAAACAGCAAAACTTTGTGTAGCCTAGCTGCAGCCCAAGTAAAAGTGCAACAACTTTCAAATCGCCACAAATATGCCATTGGTGCTCATCGTATTTTATGCATGTCAATAGGTACTTCATATTGTCATATGATTCTTTCATGTGAACTGCATACCCTACAGGAAGAGATGGTAAAATATTTCCAATATGCAATAACACTGCCTTTAAACTCAATGTTGAACTGTCTATAAACAATCTTCATTCTTCTGGGTTATAGTTTATATTTAAAGCCGCCAGTAAGCCGTTAATGTTACTGCAGAAGACCAAGTTATTCTCCATATTGAAAAATGGTTCTAAGTATTTGTGGCGTTTACGAAAAACACATACCGAAACGTCGTCTTCTAACAAGTTCCACTGCTGCAGTCTTGATCCAAGTAACTCTGCCTTACATTTTGGAAGTTCTAAATCTCTTACAAGATCATTTAATTCTGACTGTGTTATTTGTGCGGTTGGTGGCATGACGTGCTCGGTATAAAATCAGGATCTCTTGACGTTGATGGCATATCTTCTTCCTGACGAATCACTCGATCGCCATGATCTGATTCGCAAGTGTAGGATTCTGGGGGTTTTGGAATAGGATTTTCGTCGCTGTGAGGCACAGGTCTCATCGCAGATGGTATGTTTGGGTAGTTAATAACCGATTTTTTTTCTTGGACATACCTGTGGCTTGTCCAACACAAGGTACCATGCAAAAGTAACAATCATTAATATGATTTGTATTCTCTCTCCAAACCATTGGGACAGCAAAGCGCATAGACCGTTTTTGCCATTTAACCAGCTCCTCAGACTTGAAGCACATGTATTACAGCAGATGTGGGGTGCCCACTGTTTGTATTGATCACCTAGTTTACAACCGAAATAAAGCTGATATGCCTTTGTTATTAGTGGAGTAATAGACCGTCTCTGAGACGCAAAAGTCACATCACCACACACGTAACAAAACTGATCTGGATTGTTTACACACTTTCGAGACATCTTGCATGAACGCTGTCAGCCAACTGAGGAAAAAATGGCTAATATAAAACAATATAATGTACACGTATGTATAACGTAACACAATCATGCCGATTACATAATCTTTCCTTGCCGAATATAAAAATGTAGCACGTGCATTCTTGTGAATTACAGTATATTAACACTGTCACAGCAGGAACACATATAATTACCGTATCTCTAAAAGATGAACTAATATTGAAAAAATAAGTTTCATTCCGGTTTTAGCACATTAAAAATAGTAATATTTTGTTGATTTTATTTAGGATATTTTTCGTCTTTCCTAGCTGATGAAGATGCAAACGAATAGTTTCAGGACTCACTCTGAACATTTCTG